GTCCTATATAATTAATCATTTGCTGTCCAAACACAGTCAGGCCCAGATCCGAAAAGAAAAAAATTTAAAAACAATTTTAGCGCAGCGACATCTATAAGTAATTGATAGTAGGTGAAAATTGTGCGTTTTATCTATTTGCTGTCAAAATTTGAGCAAACTTTTTCATATTTCTATGTTATAACATTTTGCGTGATGTCAATTTTAGAGTGAATGTTAAACTCTATTTGAAATTTGGTAAAAGTGGAACAAAAACGTAAGAAATGCTAAAAAAATGTTAAACTCTATTTGAAATTTGGTAAAAGTGGAACAAAAACGTAAGAAATGCACAGTTTGAGCTTTCTTCTTTCACAGTTTGACCAACGTCGTAAAAGACTAGAGACTATAGCATTGCAAAGATATGCTAAAAATGTCCCAATAGCGCATGTAAGGCATGGTTGTCCTTGTAACTGAAGAGAGATAATCACGCTTTTAGAAAAGTAAAACAATAAAGCTCAAACGGGCTCTTATGTGGCATCTCTAAACTGCAAGTGACAATGAAAGGAAAGGAATGAAAGGCTTTAGTTTCATCTCAACCAAAAGCCTTCACATATTGAAAGATTGTGTAGTATACTAGTACTCTGATTATGACTACAAAAATGAAAACGAAGTACTAGTGAAGTTTTAAATAATTTTTAATCATAAAAAGAATAACAAACAATTGTACTTATAGATAATTAAATAGGATTATAAAAGAAAATTTTGTTTCCAGTAAAGCTGAATGCTGCAACTTCAACAAATTAATTTACTATAATAGAACAGTATTCCAACTGTTGAACAAGTTTCAAAACGCTTTTTGTTGAGATGTATTTGGTTACTAACTAAAGGATGGAAGATTCTGGGTTCCTTTCCCGTATCCTACATCTGCCCAGAGCAAACCTTTTTAATCATGGTAAATGTAACTAAAAATTTATCTGTCACCTCACATATGGGTTCATACAGCAGTTGGGTTGGATCGTTATACCTGTAATAATCATTGTGTACTATTATTGAGTCCCCAAATTCGCAAGTTTATCCGCACCATTAATACAAATAATTCTCGCGCTGCCAAGTATTCACGAAAATTGGTAATATATTTTTAATAATATTTTTAGTTTTTTATCTTCAAAACTTTACTTTTTCAGTATAAATAAAAGTTTGGAAACACTACTTCAGTAACGTGTCTCAAAAAGAATTGTTGTCCAAAAATTGTCACAAAAATAATGACGATATTCTTCAGTGAGCTTAAAGCCCTGATATCTCAAAAAGTAAGCTATATTGACTTGAAGCACAGTAGAAAATGGCCTTAAAACCGCAGACTCACCTAAGATCTACTGTGAAATTGTCGTACCTGGGAAAAGCAATAAGTATCGAAATTTATTATTACGCAAATACGTAATTTGTAATTTGTGAAATATAAAGTAAACTTTATAATAATACACTTAAATACGTATTATTATAATACGTATTTAAGCTCGAATATACGAAACTTAGTAAAGGCATTGAAAGTCTAGCCCGCAGGCATTACAACACGGTTTATGCAAGTTTAATTGAAAATTTAATGCTGATAAAAACGTTTTTAAAAACATTTTTTTTTGTTGAAAGAGAAAATCTTTTATCTTTTATTTTATGCTTAATAAATAAATGAAACTTACGTTTATGGTGTATGTAGAACAAAAAAAAAAATAAGCAGCAACACATCCTTCAAATGTATGTGCTTAGTAAACTGACAACGCAAGGAATAAAAAATTATAAGTAAATAAATTATTTACTTACTGAAAATTTCTTTAAAATGACATCATACCCCAAATATAAATATTTAAAAAAAAAAAAATTAAATAATATAAATATATTATACGAGTACATGCATAAAATTTCTTTTAGTTTCTTAGCGAACTGATGTTAAAAGCAAAAATCAAGCGAAGCTAGTGACTATTCGAAGTAACATAGTTGTAGCTTTAACTTTATTGAATAAAAAAATCAAAAAATTTACAGAAAGAAAATATATTGATTAAAACAATTAATAAGAAAAAGTGCATGAAATAAGCACAATAAAATAATATGGTCTTTGATCTGGGTCAAGAGGAGAATCTTTGAGATAATTAACGGAAGAAATTTTGATCTTCTGTTCGGTTACGATTTTTTGGTACCACAAAAGATATATCTTTGCCGCATTACTCCATGCCACTGCGAGTACATTAGTCCATTAATATTTATTCTATCTAAAATAAATTCTTTTTTAATTGAGGTGTTTTCAAATCTCATTAAAAATGATCAAAAATGAACAGATTATAGTCAAAGGGGTTTTTGCTTGATAGCAATCCATGTATAGTTATGACCACCAAAAAATCATTTTTTGAAGAAAGGTTCACAGATATTCTACTTTTTGAATATCTGTGTTATAATGAGTACAATAATGAGTATTTAAATACTTATACAACAAACTTCGATGATACAATTATTTTCTTGTTACGATTCTGATTTTCTGGATAACACAAATTTTATAGTTCCTACAGAATAAAACAAATTATTAATTATTTGAAATTTAAGCATATTTTCTTTATTTTAGTTTAAGTCAGGCAATATATTCCCTGCATTCCCTGCAACTGTATCCATTAATATCAATGTACTGCCTTTAAATAAGAATATTTTCACAGATGAAACACATTTCACACATGAAACGTGAGTATAGTAGTCAAGTCTGTTAAAGTCAATAAATATCGGTTTCAATAATGATAATGATAACAATAATGATAATGATATTTTGCGAGTACAAAAATTGAATATGAATATTTATCATTTAGCCTACCATAGTGGTAATTGAATATTTTTTTATAATAATTTGTATTTCAGTAGGAAGATTTTAATCTGTTAAATTTCGATGTTTTAAAATTTCAAATATTCAGTGTTTTACTTGGTGGTAGTTTGAAGTTTATTGGTTCGTTATGTTTGCCTAAAAATCTATTACCAGGATTGAGAAACCAATTACTGTTGCTCTGTTGTTCAAATTTATTCCACATTAACACCCCTTAAAGCATTTTCGTTTATTCCAATCAATTTATGTTCTAGTGGACTTCTGCTCTGTGTATTCAGAATATAAAAATATTTTTTAGCAGGATTACTAAAACGAAGTATTGGGCATATAAAATGTGCATTGCTCTTCTATAACACAATCAATTTAATTCTTTATTAAATTCTCTATCAAAATGTTCTTGGGTCTTGGTCAAATATTAATACTATACGAAATGAATAAATAATTATTTATTTAATATAAATAATTGCGTACTGATTTCTCTTTGAGAAAGGATTTGTATTATACATTGATAGAGATATACTAATGCTTTTACAGTTGGCTGAAAACTGAACGAGTAGATTATATATACACACGGTGGGTGTTTAAAACTACTCACCAAAACGATTTTGATAAAGTCAATATCCAGTTCTGGATTAAATAAATTATACTTAGGTATCTTTAAACGAACAATTTAAAGCTTATATCAAAAACAGATGAATAATATAAACAACATACAATAGATTTAGGTAGTACAAAAATGTACTAAGTAGCTAAAAGAGTGCACATCGCAGCTACAAATATTTCTGTTACACCATTTGTGTATTCGGCAGCTCCAAACTGTGCCAAAAAACAACAAGTAGCTCTCTGAAAGTCGCTTATATATACGCCAAACACAACACTACTTTCTCTATCTAAACGACTAGTTATGAAGTGGTCAAACATTTTAATGACTGCAAAAAAAATGTTACCAAAGCGGTAAGCGATCTATTGTGAACGTTGAACCCTCATTGGAAATTTCAACGAATGTTCCAATCCATTTATTAAAGTTGGTAAGCAAAAATTCAAACAAAATTAAAAAGTTTGAACAGATTTGAAAGTAGTGGAAACAAAATATTTTAAAAATATGCAAAATTGAGGAAAATAAATATTTTAAAGCTACACAAAGAATTTTAGGATGAAATGAAAAAAGTATAATTGAAAAGAGCTTTGAATTTTTTAACTTATTAGTTGCTAACAAGTTAATTCAATTATATATATATATATATATTATAAGTATATATTATATTCAAGTATAATATTCTAAACTATAGTTTAGAAAATTTTCTGTATTGTTAACATTGCTTTTAATTCATTATTCATTTTCAATTTTATATTAATTATTTATTGTATATGTATTTCACTTAGCGACTTTAGCAAGTAACTTGTTGTTTTTTTGCCACACTTCGAGGCTGCCGAATGCGCCTAATATTAAAGACTTCATATTCGTATAATTAACCTTAAAAAATTATCCACAGATTTTCTTTTACAAATGGTTTTAGTGAGAAATTGCGAAAAACAGCCCAAATTTAAAATCGTAAGTAAATTAAATGTTTCACAGGAATAATGGAAACCCAATGAGATTTTATGCTTTGAATTGCTCAACAGAAACATGGAGCACGCAAACTTCAGTAACATTACTCACAGAAAATACATTTTTGCATTCCGGTGTTATATTCTCACAGACATATTTCTTAGGGATTGGCTTTTAATATCACAAGAGTTAATGGTATATCCCAGAATACAGGAAAATTTCGAACTCAGAATACAGAAAAATTTCGAAATCAGTATTAAAAAAAAATATCAGAATAAACTTTTATTTATTGTTGGCTTTACACAGTTTAATATTTTTTCAGCGACATTTTCTAGCAAAAATAAATAATTACATATATGTAAAAAACAAAACAAGTAAATCTAACCGAATATAATTTTCGGAAAATAAGTACGAGGGTTGCTCCGTACTACTTTATGGCAAGAATGTGTTAATAGCGTATTGTATGTGTGTTTTGAAAGCAATAGCGTTTTCGAACGCTTTTCTTTTTCGGTTTATATAGTTTTTTTTGTATAATGTATAAATGTGGTGCTATGAAAAAAATTAATTTGTAAAATTAACTATAAGTTGATTAAAAAAATTTATTTTTTATCTTTTGTTTACCTTCAGGCTCTTTTGATATGACAGTTGTGCTTCGATCAACAATTCCCTTTTTATCTTCTATAATTAAAAAATATTTTCAAATAAAAGAAAAATGGATATACAAAAAAATCAACTTTATAGGAATTATTTATATAATAAACTTAGTTTTTAAAAAAAGTGTTAATGGAAAATAACTTTAGATCATAACATTTATGCATTGATAAGTTATGTATTTATTTACATTTATATATACATAAAAACTATTATAATTTATAAACAGGTGACATCTTAAATAAAGGTTTCAATATAGTAATAAAAAAAAACCAACATCACAAAATTAGTTATTTTGTATCTATACATAATAATTAATTTAACATTAGTAAAAGTATATTTAATATATCTTTTAATGTGATTCATTAGTTTGTCTTTTTAACAATCTCATTTTATTTAAATAATAACACTTTCATAATTGCGATTTTAAAGATATAAAAGGATTAAATATAAAAGGACTAAAAGACTCTAAAATTCAAAAAAAAAAATTTGAATGTATCAAAAAAATATTGAATTAAAGTCTCTTTACGCGTTTTAATGCGTCAGAAATATAAAATCAGAATATAAAATTTTTTGCTGTATAAAAAATTAATTATGACTTACTGAGATTTTAAAATTTGAAATAAAAAGTAGAAAAATTAATAATCTGGACTTCGTTAAAATAAGTACTTATAGTGAGATCATCTATTGGCAATAACATGCGTTGGTAAGGTAGACCGAAGTTATATGTAGTATATTTGATACAAATAACACTATCCGACAAATTTGATTTTTTTCAAAAATAAAGTAATTTTAGAAGAATTATGTCCTTTTAAATCCGAATATATCCGTAAATTAAATTTGCTCACTATATGATGATTTTGGTATGTTTAATGAAGCCGTATTTAAATTTCAAATATCGAAGCCGTAGGGCCCTGTTTACTAGATTTATTTAAAAATTTATGTACACCAGAAGTAATAAAACACATACAGCAGTATTTGTTTCCTCCATTTTTGTAGTCGCGATAATCAGTTCTCGCACTATACATTAGGGCGAGTCAATAATTTTAAAGCGTAAAGGAAAATTATACAATTATAAAATATCATACAATATTCTTTTTAGTATATCTTAAAATGATTAATGTGCTTATGAACTTAGATTTAATATCTTTTTATGATTCTGTCATTTTAATTCGTTATTTGATTCCAACTTGATAAAGTAATAGTCGAAATTATGCAAGAAAAAAACAAACTATTTTGAAAAATACGCCGACTCAACAATGACTGTGGACATATTACATCTTCATAACTTTTACTAGTTATATGAATATATTTTAAAATGTACTTTTTAGGTACCTACAAGTTTGTATTAATTTTACTTCGGCATCAACTAACATACTGACGGCTTTTAATTTATTATTTGTGTGCGTTGTCAGATATTACTCCAAAAATCAATAGAACCTAATAACACAAACATTTTGATCTATATATAAAAAAAGTCAATCGCAATATAAAAATTATTTTTTATTTAAATGAAGCGCACTTAAACCTCCGAAAAAGAGCTGAGAAAGTAAAACCGAATATTAGTCGAGCAAAAATATTCCCAAAGAAGTACAAATTGATATTGAAAATTAACGCTACTTTTATTTACTTTTTCTTCTACTTTTTCTGCTAGGTTATTACTATGCTACAGCAAAAAGTGATCCATGAGGAGTTCTAGCCACACTATAATCATGATATACGTGATCAGAGAAACAGTACAGCTCAAGAGTTTAGTGCTATCTTAAAGACATACTAATAGTAATACTAATATAGAATTAATAGTATTATTAGACAGTAAATGATTGCAGAATGGGTAAGAGCATACGTTATTTTGTACTTCTGCAAAAGGATGATTAGAAGAAACTGGAGTATTTACCATAAAATTATATTATGGATATATACTCTTCGTTTGACACAACTTTTTCAGCTCTTCAAACTCTTCAAAATTTCAAGTTTGTACAGAATACTAACAAAAGTAGCTTATATTTTAGTTATAAATAAATCTAATAACTTCAAACTTATCCTTAGCAAGACAGACTTTTATATAAAAGTCTATTTAATCTTTAATCTCGTCTGAGATTTAATTTTATATTAATTTTTATATTCATTTTTATAATGTAATCGCAATAAATTTTTTATCCTTAAGTATTTTTGCTTTTTAGTAAATTAAAGCAAATTTGGTAAAATTCATTCAAAATTGTGTGTACCGGAATTGGGAATATCTATATATAATACTTTAACTATTTTAAAGTCGCTTTTGTTTTTAAAGATTTCAAACTTTTATTCGATCGTTATTTTTAGTATATTTCTACACGTATTCGCTTTTGATTTCATCAGAATTTCTAATATTAATTCTTAAAAAAACAAAACAAATTTTTGTGTTTTTGTATATAGAATTTTTCAATATATATGGAAGAAATATATCTTGAAAACCACTGCGCAAATATTTTTATTCTTAATTTCGGATTTAAAAGGCTTAATATTTTTGTAAAGACTTAAATTGAGCAAAAGTTTAAATTTGTTGAAAAGTGTTATTAATGTTGATCAAAATTAATATTAAATTAAAGAATTTAAAGTTATAACTTAATTAAAATACTGATTATTCTTTACTGATCAGTAAGATATTTTAGGTCAAAGTATTCAAATTTACTTTAGATGTAATGAATCAGTTTTTCATTTGATACAATAGCCATAATTTTTTTTTTCAGAGTAGCAAAAAATATTCACAACTTACGAAAGAAAACATGTGAAGCAACAACAATGCTCTTAAAATCTTTAAAATTAGATTTTATTCGCAAAAAATTTTAAGTCTTAAATTTCAGTGCAGCCAAATTCAAAAATCAGTTTATTGTGAATGCATACTGGATATATTTTGCAAAATTCCAGTTGTCTACTAAAATCATATGAGCATTTCATTTACTAATAAATTCAAATAAATAAATAATTTAAATATATAAAGTAAAAATGTTTACCCATTACCATTCTAATATTTATTTTGTTTTCTTTTATTTAAATTAATTAATTCTTAGTGTTTACAATTTTTATGTTTCATGTTGTACACAACATGCCAATTTCTTTCAACCAGACTTTATGCTGTTTTTTTACAACTCTGAAAGAAAAAATTACGACTATTGTCGATTTATTTTCAATATTTAATGAAAATTTTTTTTAACAACAAATCATTGGTATTTTTAAACTGCCTTAGATAAAAAATTATTTAGACGAATTTATAAATGAATACGACTATTTTTAATAGGACACAAAGTTTCTAATAAGAAATATGGGTAGTAAGCTAACTACTAGATAAAAAAAACTGTGAATCCGTTGGCAACAAGGTGATCAAAATGCACTTTGATTACAAATGATTTAGTTCATTTAAGCAAGATTTGCAATTTTAGAGAAACAACAATGATGTAATTAAAATAGACAATTCTTATTTTATTTAATTAATTTTCTCGTGAAATTTATGACAATAAACATGTTAAACCTTAATATTTGTGCATATTATTTATACAAAGTAGTTGACGTCGAAACGCTATAAAAGAGCATTCCAGAAAAAAATCAACTTTTCTCAGATAATATATTGCAAGATTATAAAAGCAATAATTTACTTATTTCAACATTTTTAATATTAAAAATAAAATGGTGTAATTCCAATACAAAAAATAATTAACTTAACAGGAACATTCAAACGCAGCACGGTAACTGGAAAGGTGATAATATATCAAACGCTTGACCAACGGTTTTTAATACGATCCCGGTAAAATTTTACGATTGAGCTGGTAAAGCACAAACCTCAAAATGAAAAAAATTAAAGTTTAAGTAAAACTTGTATTTCTATTAATATTTCTTTATGCATTATATGTATTTATCGAACACTTCAACACTCAAATTTAATTTTAATTTTGATGCAAAACTTCGCAGTAACAAGAATCAGCTAAAGTTTTACCAGTACCGAAAGAATTATCAGATCTAGGGGTCGATTCCTGAACTATGCAAATATTTTTAAGTATACGCAAACGAAAAACTTATTTCTCACCACAGTTCACACTTTCTAGTAAAATGCGTTTCCTCAAGTGCTAGTGCTTTTTTCGTGTTATATGTAAAATTAAAATGTGGTGAATACGTTTTTGACAGCTGTTGGTAAAGAAATTTGTATTTGTCATTGAAAATAAGCAAAGCAAAAAAAAGTCACATATTATATTAATTTATAAGAGCATTATAAATAAAGTTAATTATTAATAAAATGTTACTACAACGAATATTCGATACGTTTTTATTAATTATTATTGGACTTAGGTCGTTAAATTAACACATAAAAATTAAAAATGTTTTTTTAAACAAAAATTCCACGTATAGATTTGTGTTAATATTAATAAATTTTAAAATTTATTTTAATATATTTTAGACCATCATTAATTTTATTTATCGTTACAAAATTTTTTATTTCTTTCTATAAAGTTCACGAGGACAAACGTTTGTTCCTTGCTTCCTTTTTTTGTGTTCTATTTCTAACACATTCAAAAATAATAATCTTTTTTTTGAAAAAGCACTGTCTCTTTTTACCATGAAAGAAAGAAATAGATAAAAGTGTAAATATTTTTGGACAAATAGGAATAGTAAATTTAATTTGCACAGTTAAGAAATATATCCCCGACGTCTTAGTAGTTCGTTTACTCAAATATATTGTAATTTTAGAAAAAAATATATACTCATAAGATTTTATCACTTTATAGAATTACCGCAGACGTCTGAATACCCTTATCAAAGTTTTTCCAGAGCAGTGTTCTTTGGCACACAACACTTAACATAGACCTATTTTTCTATAGAGAAAAGCAATAGTCATTTTAAAGGGATACATTTTATATTGGACTATTTATGTATATATATTTTTTTGTAAACATAAAAGTAGAAATAAAAAAATGAGAAAGATGATTCAAAAGAGTTTACGTATTATATATTTTATTAATTTAGACATTAAAACGTATTTGTAAAAACATATCAAACAAATGTGCAAAAAACAGACTTAAAGGTATTTACAACAATATCTACTAAGGCGGATATGCATATTTATTGTTAAAAACTTTTTGACTTAAACTGATAATGTTGATAAAAATATTCATAGAAGTAAAAATTTTCACTCTCATAAGTGCCTCTGTTTAAAAATATTTTTAATATGGTCAAATCTAAAAAATTGACCGAATACTATATACGATTACATGTTTAAATGACTAAAACTCTATGTAAAGAAAGAATTTTTGTATTCATTTACCTTTTACATCATCATCTTCAATTGTAGTGCTAGAAGAGTCAGTCGATTCTTTAACTTGAGATCCTTCACCCTTTTTAGTAATCATGCTTCTACCTTGAAAACAAAATTATAAACAAAAGTTAATTATTATAAATTATATATATACATACGAAAAATATATTAAAAATAAAATTATTAGATAAATCAAAACCAGTTCTATTACAAAATTATAAAAAGAATATTGCAAGGAGATGTGGCTCTTTAAAAAAAAATTTAATATATTTTTTTGTACAAAAATGTTTTTATGTGCATGACAGTATAAATGAACTGAAGGGGGAAACCTTAAAAACTATATATTTCCCAAAAAAAATTATATCCTAATTTTAAGGCTATAACCTAGAAAGTTTCATAAGAACACTTTTAACTTGATAACGGAAATATTGGTTTGGACATTTGACTGAGTGTCGTCACAAATTTTTGGATATAGGTTCATCACAAAGTAGGTGTGGTACAAAATGTGTGAATTTCGAAGGCACTTACCGAAGTCTTCGACAAAGTTTGGCACGAAGGAAACTGAAACTTTATGTAAAGTTTTGGAAACTTGAAAAATATTTACCATACAATACATTAAGACTGAAAAGTTTTCGGAAATTCTCATTTAAAATTCGCGCGCTGTATATTTTTCGATATTTTAAGTTTATGTAGTTTGGCAGCACTGTCCTTAATTACTATGCCAAAAATGAGCTCGATCTGTCAGACAGTTCGTTTACGGCAGCTGTTGAAACCAGTTCACCTCAGTAGTGCGTTGCGAAATGTCTTCGACGGTCGTACGACCGTCCTGGAAGGCTTTGTACCACTCATAAACTTGAGTTTTCGATAAAACTGATTCCCCATAAGCCTTTTGTAGCATTCGCAACGATTCTGCACACGAAATTTCGTTCGAAACACAAAATTTGATGCAAACTCTTTGTTCAATATTTTTTTCCATTGTTTTTTTCGCAACGCCCTACTGAGGTGAACTGGTTTCAACAGCTGCCGTAAACGAACTGTCTGACAGATCGCGCTCATTTTTGGCATAGTAATTAAGGACAGTGCTGCCAAACTACATAAACTTAAAATATCGGAAAATATACAGCGCGCGAATTTTAAATGAGAATTTCCGAAAGCTTTTCGGTCACAATGT